CGCTTAACTTCCTCTATACTCCTTCTGCTATCTTGATTGTTAACCTAAAGTTTGGACAAGGATTGAACATCCGACTGTAGTTTCCCTTTCCGCTTCATGTCATCTTCCAAATTAGAGGCCACTTGATGCCCTGTAAACCGATCATCATTACTCAATAGAAGACATTGCAACTACATCACGCTCCGTGTTGTAGAAAGATTATATGAAGCAACTGTAAATTAAACCTTAGTAGGCACTAATAAAGAACGTTTTCACTGAACGTGTCTTTGATTAAATTTGAGTCGATCAATTACTATTGATTCTCATTGCAGCGTAGTCTACGGCATTAATTAACGTAAATGAAGGCTAACGCTATGATATTATGATCTCAGTAAACTTGTTGATTCGATTTTCACAATCTATATGAAACTCGTGATTTCATAGGAAAACTCATGCTAACCATTAATGTACTATATATGTACTTATTTGTTGGTTAAAATGTTGTTAGCATTTAAAATGCAAGTAACTACTTTTTGAAATTCAGTTGTTATATGCAACTAATTACATTATAATAGATCGTGTGATGTATTTTTTGATAACCATAAATATTAATTCTTTCCAACAGTAATGTTTTCACCAATCTACTGTTTTCCAAAACGAGCTTCCTATATCAATATGTTATCGTAAAGCAAGTAATTTTAAACTTATTTAATATCAGAAAGAAATCAAGTAGGTATAGGCCTACCTGTTAGGAAAGCTGCTTAATTTCAGAAAGATTTAATCAGTAGTTACTGAATTTTCACCCACAGTCATGAAAATTACTGACAGACAAGGATTTAAAAAATAAATTGTTCGATGTATTGACGTTCATTTTGTCGTCAAGCTGGTTAATTAATCAGTTTAAGAAGCACCTGCTAAGTATTGATGATTAGGCCTACCTATAGTTTATCATTATTTATCGGGGAACGGAGAAAACTTTAAGAGAAATCTCATTACTTTGCTCTCAGCTTGAAATAAATTACATGTGTGAAAGGCTTTCGTCCATCAGTGTACAAACATAAAAAGCATTCAGATAACACACCATCGGCTATTTTGGTTGGCACGTGCCTATTACGATGTGCTTTTCTTATGTAGGTGCTGCGTATTTTCTGGTGCGTAAAATATTTTCAAGGAGATTTTGCTGTTGTTCAATGACGCATGTACACTCTTTTTGTTTTACTACGCTCATAATATCTTGCCAATATTTACTAGTCAACTAGGACAAAAGATTTCCGATGCTTTAATTCAACGACACGCGACCAACAACAGTCCTTTTTATTCTATCGACTACTACTTCTGTCACCAGGCATCGCTTAGGTGTATTTTAAATTACTTCATCCATTATTCATTAAGGCTGTATTTGATTGGTCCGTATTAGTAGATATCAAACTCTTTCTACACATGCTTAGCCTATAGGACTGAATGAATAAAAGGCAATCAGAATGGACGATCCTCGCTTATTTTCAGAAATGAGACACATGGTGCCTTCAGAAGGAATACAACTTGGAGATAGATGCAAATTATCATCTCCTTTTTTATACGGAAAATTTCCAGAATTTACGTCAAAATTGCTGTTATTATAACTTTCTATCAACATTAATTGAGGAATATTTATTGTTTTTTTCCTTGTGAACAAAATGATGTGATATTTTCTCTTAATTGCTGAAATTTTCTTCACTACGGATCGCAAACAAGAATTTGCGACGGGGGCTTGTCTGTACGCCCGCTCCACGCGTCGATACCTTGTCTACCCACCGTTTCTGGCACGAAACTACCCAACTCAAGACAACATGTATATAACTGGTATGCTTATTTATTTATATATATTTATGTATAATATTATTGAAAGTAGTGGATTGGCAGACAGTGTGATTATATTCATTGATGAATTAATACATGCAATGAAATGTTTGTTTTTAGAATTTGTTTCTAATGTACCTCGTCTATCTACCGTCTCTGGCACCCAAGATAACCACACTGTCTGCCCATATATATATATAT